AAATTTCTTCTTTCTGTAATGAGTGGAAACAGCATTGATATCAGTGGCCATTTAGGAAAACAATGATGGTTTTTCTTATACTACTATTTTGGGGGGGTAAAGAAATTGCGGACATGTACACAATGAAATACTACTAAGCCATGAAAATGAATAGAATCCTGCCATTTGTGACAACATGTATGGAACTTGGGATTATTGTATGAAGTGAAATAAGTCAGAGATAGAAAGACAAGTACCCATGCCCCATGGTATCAGAGGCCCCTGGGAGGCGCAGATACCACCTGCACTGATTGGGGGAAGAGATGAGTGGCTGGTCTCCAGGCTGGATAACCTGGGTTTCTAGGTCCAGGGCACATTCTGTGCCCCTCCCCACCTATCACAGTCTCACCCGCTGGTCAGCAGGTGAGAATTCTGCCAGCAGGCTGCTCCACAACCCTCGCCATTAGACTCTGCAACCTACAAGTCCCACTCTGACCTACAAATCCGTGAAATTCATGGCCCCCACAACCATCCACCTCTGCATCAATGGCCTGGGTGGCACAGATATTACCTGCACTGATTGGAGGAAGGATCAACACCTGTACCTATAATTACCCCAAACCCAGATGGGTAGACAACAGTGTAAGAATACACTCAACAACATTAAGAGCAATATGGTACCACCAGAACCCAGTGGTTCTACAACAGCAACATCTGAACATCCCAATGCAGATGAAGCAGAAGAAAATGATATATAAAAATGACTTTATGAAGATGAAAGAAACCCTTAAAAAAGGAAATGAAAAATTCTTAAAGAAATTGAGGAAAAGACAAATAAAAAGTTGAAAGAAATCAATAAATTCATTAAAGAAAGTCAAGAAAGCCAAAAAAGACAAACAGGTGAAGAAAACAGTTCAGGACTTGAAAATTGAAATGGAGGCAATAAAGAAAATACAAACCCAGGGAATTCTGGAAATGGAAAATCTGGGTAAACAAACAGGAACTACAGATGCAAGCATAACCCATAGAATGAAAGACATGGAAGAGAGAATATCAGGTGATATTTCCTCTACAATAGAGGAAATAGATTCATCAGTCAAAGAAAATGTTAAATCCCACCAAGTCTTAACACAAAACCAGGAAATCTGGGACATGATGAAAAGACCAAACCTAAGAATAATAGGGATAGAAGAAGGAGAAGAATTCTAGCTCAAAGGCACAGAAATATAGTCAACAAAATCATAGAAGAAAGATAAGGACCATATGATCTTATGATGTCATTTATTTGTGGACTATAAATGTTGGTCTCATAAGTCTGGGAAGAAGAATGGTGGTCACCAGTGGCTGGGGAGAGTAGATGGGAAGGGGGATAGGGAGAGCTTGGCCAATGGGTACTGAGCTTTGGTTGGATTGGAATAAGGAACTCAAGGAGGGCATTCTACAGAAGGGGTTACATGGATAACTGTTGTGTTATGCATACTTCCATAGGTAAAATAAAGGATGTTAAATGTTTTCCTGTCAAATACTCCAACCAGAATGGCTATAGTCAAGAAAAGAAGTGACAGCATTTTATTAGGCTATTACTTACTGTTGGTGGGAGTGTAAACTGGTGAAGCCACTATGAAAACCAGTGTGCAGGTTTCTCAAAAAAAAGTAAAAGTAGATTTATCTAGGATCCAGCTATACTACTCAAGGACACCTACCCAAAGAGTTATATCCTACTACAGAGAGAGAAACACTTGCATACCCATGCTTATTGATACTCTCTTCATGATAACAAGAAAATAGAATCAGCCTATATGTCCACCAACAGATGAATGGGTAACAGAAATGTGGTATATTTACACAATGAAATATTATTCAACTCTTAAAAATGTATTATGAAATTTTCAGGAAAGTGAATAGACCCGGAAAATATGTATTAAATAAGGCCACTCATGTCAGATGGAAAAAAACCTGTATGCTCCCTCTTGCTTGCAGATCTATTTTCTAGTTTGTACACATATGTACTTCTGTGGGGGTGAAGGTGGGTGGAGGTCATGAAACCAGAAAGGGGCTCGTGGTGTGGAAACTGAGGCTTTAAGGAAGAGAGGCTTTAAGGATAGAACATCTTACACATTTCATGTGGGAGTGGAAAGGGAGGGGCTGCTGGTGGGAGGGGACAAATGGGGAGGCGGAGAGAACTGAGGGATGGTGGGGGTGAATCAACCGGAACTGTTTGAAAATACCATAAGAAAACCTGTTACTATGTGCTCATTAAGAGTGAAAGTAATCTCGGAACGAATGCTGTTTGAAGAACTAGATGTCTATAACTGGGTTGTAAAATATACATGCTTGTGGTGATGTGTCACCCTACACCCCATTCCAAGGGTTTTGGAAACTTCTTGCTATGCTAATTATCTGCTGGAGTTAACCACACAAACATGAGACCCTGGCAAGGTTCGCTTGAATTCAGTTCTTTTGGAGGTGCGGGGGAGCACGACTGGATAGATTGGGCAAAGAAGCCGGTGTTTAAAGGCTGGACAGGGGGCAGTCTCCGAGAGGAGGACGGAAGGAGATGTGGGCTCAAGCCTCCTGCGGTTGTTTGTCCCCTCTCTCAACTTAGGAGCCAGACACAGTTAGCTGGTGGGGTTATTGTTGTATGAGGTCTGCGCTAAAAATTACCACCCGCAATGGCTAATCATAAAAGTTTCCAGGAACCAACAATTTCCTTTTTGTCACTGGTCATTTAGCATTGAATGATAGGATAATTAAAAAAAAACAGTGGAAAGAACAAAGATATGGCTTAGTGTCCATATTCTCTTGGGTATAAACAACCTATGTTTTCAACCACAGGACAGTAACACAAGATGCCAATCTTAATGCTTATTCCCATGAACACGCAGCATAAGTTATATGATTGCAGCTTCCTAAGGACATGGGTTCTTTGAAATAGGTACACAACTTAAAAATGTACCATTATGTACAAAGACCATCATGTGCTTATCACTAAGTCTAAATAAGGGAGGTGTTTTCCCACCACTGTGGGTTATGGCCTTGCATGCTGGGTATCCTGTGCCTAAGAAAGCTCCAGAACAGTGGTCTTCAAGTGTAGCCCCAGGGCTGGCTCTATTTTTTTGAGGGGTTTTCATTATATTTTTTAATTTAAATTAGAAACATACTTGCTTAACATGTCAATCCCTGCTCCCTCTCCCACCCTTCCACCAAGCCCCACAACCTCCTACCCAGTCCCCACACCACTCCCTAGGGAGGGTGAGGCCCTCCCTGAGGGATCTCCAGAATCTGTCATTTCATCTGGGGCAGGACCTAGGCCCTTCCCTGTGTGTCCAGGCTGAGAGAGCATCCCTCCATGTGGAATGGGCTCCCAAAGTTCATTCATAAACCATGGTAAACACTGATTATTACCCAAGCACCCAGAGATTACCAAGGCCTCCTCACTGACACTACATTCAGGGGGTCTGGATCAGTCCCCTGCTGGTCTCTCAGCCATCAGTCTGGGGTTCAAGAGCTCCCTCTTGTCAGGTCAGCTGTCTTTGTGGGTTTCACCAGCATGGTCTTGACCCTTTTGCTCATCACTCCTCCATCTCTGTCACTGGGTTCCAGGAGTTCAGTTCAGTGTTTAGCTGTGAGTATCTGCCTCTGCTTCTATCAGTCACTGGATGAAGGTTCTAAGGTGGCATTTAAGGTAGTCCTCAATCCCATTATCAGGGAGGGGCTATTAAGGTAGTCTCTCCACTATTGCTTAGTTTTCCAGCTGGTGTTATCCTTGTAGATCTCTGGAAATCTTACTAGTGTCAGCACCCTCTGCAAACCTATAATGACTCGATCTATTATGGTATCTCTCATCCTGCTCTCCTCTGTTCTTCCCCCGACTCAACCTTTCTTCTCCCCATGTCTTCCTCTCCCCTTCTCTCTCCCTCTCTTTTTCCTGGTTCCCTCTCCCCTCTCCCCATGCTCCCAATCTGCTCAGGAGATCTTGCCTCATTTTCCTTCTTGGGGTATCATGCATACTCTCTTGGGAACCTCCCTGTTTCCCAGACTCACTGGCAATTGGATTGTAGGCTGGCACTTCCCTGATCCATGTCTAAAATCTATATATGAGTGAGTGAATACCATGTTTGTCTTTTTGTGACTGGGTTACCTCACTCAGGATGGTTTCTTCTAGTGCCATCCATTTGCCTGCAAATTTCAATATTCCATTTTTTTCCTCTATCCTCTCTTCAGTTGTGAGGCATCTAGGTTGCTTCCAGGTTCTATTACAAATAATGCTGCTCTGAACATAGTGGAACAGACATCCTTGTTGTATGAATGGGCATCTTTTGGGTATATGCCTAAGAGTGGAATTGCTGGGTCTTGTGGTAGACTGAGTCCCATTTTCTTGAGGAAGACAAGAAAGACAGGAGGGAGAGGAGGAGGAGGAGGAAAGCAAGTAGGGAGAGAAAGGGGAAGAAGAAAACAGCAGCAGAGGTAGCTCTCTTCGTCTTGTGAAATATGAAATTTTGGCATTGACACAAAGTGAGCGATCACCTCAAAGGGAATAATAGTTTTTTGGGAGCCAAATCTAAGTATCCATGGCCCAAAATACTAATATGGTCACAATTTTGTGGGCTTTTTATAGTAAAAGAAAAGAGAAAGTCATAAATTGAGGTATTTTTATTTATTCTCTTCTCATGCAACACATTCCAATTGCAGCCTCCCCTCCCTTCCCTCCTCCCAGTTCTCCCCCTCAATCTCTCCTTTCCTCCAGATTCACTGCTCTCCGTTTCCCTTCAGAAGAGAACAAGCCTAGACACAATAAGACTAGGCACAAACTCTCATATTAAGGCTGCACAAGGCAACTCACTAGGAGGAAAAGAGTCATAAGAGCAGGTAAAAGAGTCAGGGACAACCCCACCCAGTTAGTATCTGCTGTAGATCAAGATGCTATCTGCTAATATACTTAGCCTTTGGGTTGAAGTCCACTGTTACCTTTTGAAAAGGATCTCATCTAATAGTCAGGGTTGTTTACTCAAACAGATGGAAAATACATGACTGATAAGGAAGCTGAAGACAGCCCATGGTGTGCAGCCTCCAAGCTCTCCACAATTCCAGACTTGTAAGTCAGTCAGATGTGGTTTTCGGAGGGACACTTCAGGTCATAGCTCATCTTTTGGGTAAGTATCACATTTTGTGTTAAAAGATGCAAATATTGTTTTATGTTCCACTGTAATAGGAAGGCTCATTCCTAGGACCTTTTATAGATAAGGCTGAATTAACAGAGGGGGAGGGAGGGAGACAGAGAGGGAGACGGAGACGGAGAGGGAGAGGGAGTGTGTTAAGGCATTAAGGAAGAAATCCTTGAGTTATACCACATAATGTAGCCATGGTGATTCTGATTATTTCTTCTCCGTTTTTGTCTTCTGTATCTAACATAGCATTACATGTGACACATAATAAGAGTATCATACTCAAAGTTAAAGCCAAGAACACAGTGTCAGGGCCAGGTCTATTAGCATTACTAGATGTATCCGAAGTATAATGCTAGAGTCAAGCCCTGCAATAGAGCTTAGGGATCCAGCCCTTGGTGGGCACAAAACCAAAGAGCAATGAATGTCTTACTACTTGCAGCAAGCAAGGAGAGATAGTGGATACTCAGCAGGCAAGGGATTTTACTGGGGAACATACCTACATCCATGTTGGAAGGGGCTTGGGCCTGCACTCTCCTGAGGACACTCAGTTCAAGGTTATGCTTTTTAACAATACATGTTCAAATATGGTGGCTGGAGACATTTCTGGGATGGAGAATTTAGTATCCTAATGAGATTGTGACGAACAAGGGATGGTCGTCGTCCTTTCAAAGGGCTGGCTTCTTACTAAATGCTCTCACCTAGGAATCAAGACATCAGACTTGCCATGTCTAGAATTTGGGGGTGGAGTTCAACAATGCGTGTGACAGCTGTCCTCCAGGTAATTATGATGCAGTAGAGAGCCACCAATCAGGGAGATGAGAGAGGAATGCTCTCAGCACCAGGAACTCCACCCTTTCATGCACACCGAGTACCAGGAGGGTTCTCTAAGTTCATTAGGGTCTAAGGATGATCTGCAGAAGGTTCTCGTTCTTGTTTGTTTTTTGTTTCATCCACACACACCAAAATAACTGACCAACCCAACTAGCTTTTAGAATGGGTGGGATCCCAAAGCCTTACCGTGCCAGTTTGCTGTATCAATAGGCTTGTGGCCTTGTAGTGAGAGGAAGAGGGATCCTGTCATAGGCAATAACAATTCAAAGTTAAAGGGAAATCACCACATTTCTTTGACATTTGAACACATATTTATAAGTTAGTGTTTTTGAAATAAAGCTGCTCCTTGAAGTTGAGTATATATATTCAGCATAATGGGTTTCTCTCCACCGTGCCAAATGACTTGTGGAGAACATGTCTTACAACCCACAGTTTAGAATGGTGGAAATCTGGCATGAAGGGTAATAGAATGGCCTCTGAATCTACTGAGGGCAGTAAGGAAGCAATTTTATTTTTTCAGTAAATTTGAACAATGACAGGTTTAATATTTTGCTGCTCTTTTGTTCAAACTGCTCCCAAGCAGCTTACCAACACTGAACCATGGCCTAGTCTGGGTCTGACAAGTCAGAATCCCTGTGGGACTTGAACACCAGTCAATTTAAAGGAGCTTGTGATTTTAATGTGCCTCCAGTCACAGATTCACTAAGGAATGTCTGGTCTATAAGCTGACTTTTACACCTTTGAATACAAACTCATGTCTAAACTTTGGCAGGTGATGGACACCTATTGCTCCAGCTTCTTCACTACCATAGGAGTGACGACAAAGTATCACATTTCCTAATCCTTTTCTAATCATTGTCATTTATTCTCACACCTGCAGATGTCTGCATTTGGAACAGCACACCCACCTGAGGGCTGCATTTTTCACCTGTTAGTACTAGCTGAATGACTGAAGGGGGGATGTCTTTCTGTATATGTTTCTCTTATTGGTTGATGAATAAAACACTGATTGGCCAGTAGCTAGGCAGGAAGTATAGGTGGGGCTACCGGATGAAGAGAATTCTGGGGAGAGGAAGGCAGGGAGAAGCCGTCAGGGAGACGCCATGCTGCGGAAGGAGTAACATGCCGAATTATGGGTAAGTTACAGCTTCATGGCAATACATAGTTTAACAGAAATGGGTTAATAATTAAGAGAGAGCTAGCCAGTGAGAAGCCTAAGCCCTATGGGACCAGGTGGGACACATATCTCCATCTTCAGTATGACTGTCATATTCTCTACTTGTTCTTATTCTTTAAATGAACTTCATTTAAAAACTATGCAGCAGATTGCAGCAGAGACCCACAGCCAGAAAATATGTATCGAGTGAGAGATCTTCAAATACTTGTCTCTAAAAGGGAATGTCCCTATCAAATCCCTTCCCTCAGCCTCAAGGAACTCTGTGGAAGAGGAGGCCAGAGGAGATGGAGGACACCAAGGAAACAAAACCTTCTAAATAGAACAAGACCAGTGCACATAGGAACTCACAGAGACTAAGGCAGCATGCACAGGCCTGTACAAGTCTGCACTTATGGGGTCTTAGATCTGAAAGGAGAAGTAGACACATTGCCTGATCCCTAACCCAGAAACGATCTCCAATTGATAACCACTTGTAAATGAAAACTTAATTTCTTCCAAGGGAGTCTCAGTGGGGAAACAAACCACTCTTAAGGGCAGGCCCTGTACCCAGAAGAAGATGGCTAACACAAAATGAACTCAGCAATATGTTTGGAGGTTTTTTATCTCATAATGTTGAATCAAGGCTTCTGTTTTTAAAGCATTATAGCTTCTTTTCAAATATATATTATGGCTTGCAATTCTGTGTTTTTGCAGGATTCCTCTGTGTGTGTGTGAGTCTATATATATTTCTTGTGCCTTTTCTTTGTCTCTTTTTTCTTCTGCTCATTTGTTTTTTGCTTTATTTGATTGTATTTTATTTTGTTATTATTCCTTAGATGCCTGTTTGTTTTCTAAAGAGAAACAGAAAGGGTGTGGATTTGATGGGAGGGGAGGTGAAGAGGAACTGGGAAGAACTTCACTTTTTCTTTAAAGTGGAATATTGTATACATGTATGTATGTATGTATGTATTTCATTATCCATTCATCTGGTGATGGACAACTAGGTTGTTCTTTGCTATCTCTGTGTAGAATGGAGTTCTTTGGTTACATGCCGGGAGTAAAATAAATGAATTCTATGGCTTTTCTATCTTAAACTTTTGAGCACTCTTCAAACTGCTTTCCACATCTCTCTAATAATTTGCACTCCAATCAACAGTGAGTAAGGGTTCATTTCTCTCTACATGCTCTACAAAATTTGTTGTCAGATTTGCTGATGATATTCCTTTAAAAATGAAGCATTTACATAAGCCTTTCTATTTCTTAAAACACATGTAAGATGTATTGTTTTATATACTTATAATTAATATCAAGATTTGATTTAAAAAATTATGCCATCAGGGCATGTCCCTAAATTCACTTGCTTATTGTGACTATCAGGATTTTGCCCTAAGCAGAATGATCATTGTCTATTTTATGCTCATATAATTTAGGGTGCAGAGGCTGCCAGTTGGAGGTCAATTTGGTTTGTGGAAGCTGGAACTTTTCAGTGTGACCTTGAGCTAAGGCCCTCTTTCTTTTCTTTAGAGCTGAGTATGGCGGTACATGCTTCAAATCCCAGCATAGGGTAGACAGAAAGGGGGTTCTCAACCTTGAGGCCAGCCTGGTCTACATAGTGACATCTGTCTCACAGAAAACAAAAACATTAAAAATGCATTATTTAAAAAGTCAACTGTACTAGATATGTTTGAAGTTTAAAAAAAGTTCCTTAATTAAAAAATTAATGAGAATATAACATACACCCATTGTAAATCATTATTTTATAATATCCAGGACATAGACTCATGGAATTTTTAAAGGGAATTTACACGGCCCTCAACTTCTCCCAATTAAAGAAATCTCTTGCTTGTTCCAACGAACATGTATCTGTCTGTCTTCTAATTAGTTCCCTTACTAAAATTTGTGACTATGTTGTCATTGGTGATTTGTTGCTTCAAAATATTTATTGAAATGTTGACATTCATAATATTGATGCTAAATTAAAGGACTATAAAGGTTTAGGGAAAATATGATTTTTTTTTGTTCCCACTTCTAAAGCAAATTACCAATGGAGCACATGCTTTGGGAGAGCTCTGGGGGGAACCCTTAAGCTGGGAACTAATGTTGCTAGGGACTGGGAGCTGCAGAGACTGGGGAAATGAAAAGAAATGACCTGTGAAGCAGGTCTCAAAGTGTGAGTAGGCTTTCAGACTGAAAAGAGAGTGGGAAGATAGTCAGGAGTTTTCAACAGCGCTGCTCATGCAGCTCTGCTTTAATCATTGGCATCCCTAACTGCTTCTCCATCTCTCCTGTTTGCTGAGACAAAGAACAGTATCCAGCGTTGGTACCCAAGGTATGACTGATCTGTGCTCCAGCCAGCAGCCTTCAGATCACTTGGTAACATGAAAGAAATACAAAAGTCTAGATTTCTACCCCATGTCTACTGGTGTGTATTTCAAACAAGGCCTCCAGGTAACCACAGGAGTATTAAAGTTACAGTTTGTGTCCCTATTTTCTCAGCCTCCATCCAGTGTCTGAAAAGCAATTACTGTACTGTGTATTTAGCTAATTCATATGGACAGTTTAACTAGTCAGATAATTCTGCAAGGTTCACAACAAAGATTGGCACTCACCTTTTCTCACCTTTCCTACCTCCATTAATAATGTCCTAGAATAAACCATTTTAATATCTTTTGGTTATCCTAGTATGCACCTTCATCTCTGAAATACAAATGATCATATTACATTTTTAGAGATTTATCTTCTTTTGAATGAAACTATACCTTTTATCACAATGGGAGAAAATTTTACTTTCTTTTATTACCACCTTGACCTGTCTTTCTCTCCATTTCAATATAATTATAATAAACATTTGATTAATGAGAGTTAGTGGTTTTAGTTTTATGACTATAATATTATCACTAGCTAAGTAATGCACAGTTTTGATTTCCCCTGGAGTTAATGATTGCATTGTTGTTTGTTTTAAACATGTCTTTGCCTACCCCAATTCTTCCTTGTCTTT